ATAAATATTTATCTTCAATTAAATTTGACTTGTTGTATCCTCGTCACCAAAATATCAATTACTATATCAACATTTGTTCAATGAAAAATATTTTAAAAATATTCTCTTATGTGAAATATTTCTCATGACTTTTAATAATTAAGAAAACCAACTATAAAAGATAAATCAATCCACCTTAGGAATTGACTTAAATATTAGAAAAATCATATCAAAAATTCATTTAATATCAAATTTGACTTGGTGCAAGTCAACCCCATATCAAACACCTATGTTAAGCGGATCATAAGACTCTTAAAAAGCAAGTCGAGTTGAAATCGAGTCGGATTAGTCAAGTGTTCGAGATCAACCATCAACTTCTATACCTATCAAAAGTAACAAAATAACGAAGAAAATAAGAAAAACAAATCAGAATATTTCAACAGAAAAAAGAAATAAATAAAGAAGTAATACAAAGACAAAAACAAGTGATGAAAACCAAAAGACCCTCTCAAAAATATTCCTTAGACGGTTTCATTTAATATCTACTCGCAAAATGTCACTCTCATAGAAACGTTGTGCCATCTAATACAGATCTATCTATAAGGAAGAAAACAAGCTTCCGATGGACTAACACACGAATGAACTACCCATCAAAATATGAGCATCCGAACAGAATACTTCGTTTGACAAGCAAAGGATGAACAACATGGCTCATCTCCGAACAATGACGCAATAAAAGATGTAATATTAGTCTGCTAATGCATAGCTCCAATGCTAGTGTTCTAATGATTCCAAGTTTCTCAGCCAATGATTAGTCCTTTTCATCCAATCCGTAGAATCCTTCTGCATGCAACGAAGCATAGTCTACGCAATGAACAGCGTTTCAAAGACAATACACACGCAAGGTGTCTTGATCTTTTCTTCCTCTGTGCACTTCCTTGTAGTTGATCTTTGTAAGGATTTGATTTAGCAGCAGCCTTACAGTCCCTCATGAACATATTATATTCCAGCTAAAAGTAGGCCTTAAATGCACCACATGAGAAGTGTTTGATCTTTTCTTCCTCCTTTCTTACTCACAGTTGGAATTGATGCCTCCTCCTTACCATGCCTGCACTGCCAAAGCTGCAAAGGAAAAAGGATCGAAAGGACATATGGATGCTCTGAACATGAGCATATGGAGAGTGCAACCATGTTTTAGAGATCATATCTCGAATGCTATAAAGAAGCTATCAGTAGTAAATGCAGCCAAACACTATATCACTGTTGAGAACCAAGAAGCAGATGAGCCTCTTTCATCACCAGACATAGGTACAAAGATCACTTCAAGAAAACTCCAAATGGGAGACAGCACATAAAACGCCATTATTCACTATAGGGCACAGTTGTCTTAGCAACTTGAGATCTTATTATATAGTCACATAGTTTTACACAAAGGTTCATCTTAGTTAAATTAAGAATATTGAACGGGATTATATTATTTTTATTAATAAAATTCTATATTTTTTATTTTATAAAAAATAAATTTAAAATGTTTGAATGATATTTTTTTTAAAAAAAAATAGTCTTCTTTCAATAGATATATTCATTTTTTGTTCTCTCAATTGATACTTCTTTTTTTCTTCTGATATCCTACATCTTATGGAACGATGTTTTAAAATAATGTTAAAATGTTTTTCTAATTCATATAAAAAAAACCTATATCCTCAACCAAAAAAAACACTGTAAATGGGTCCTAATATAAATTATTGTGTTATTTCCATTGGATACTATGTCAATAAATTGATATTGATATAATTTATATTAAGATGTTTGATACAAGTTATAAAAAGTCAATTATGGTGTTTTGGAATGTTGTTACTGTGTTTTTATTCATATACAAAAAAAAAACATTATATTTGAATAAAAAATATTGTAAATGGTTCATGATACAAATTCTTATATATATTTTTATTTTATACAATATCAACAAATAGATATGAACATAATTTGCATTGAGGTGCTTGATACAAGTCATAAAAAATTATTTACGATATTTGAGAACACTGTTACAGTGTTTTAGTACATACGAAAAATATTATATCTCAACACAAAAATACAATAAATGAGTCACGATATAAATTATTGTGATTATTTTCGTTGCCTATTATGTCAATAAATGAATATAAACATAATCGATACATGTTATAAAAAATCAATTACACTATTTTAAAATGCCATTACATTGTTTTTGTTCATATATA